GTACAAGTAGATTAATTCTTGGAAAAATTGAATTATGTTTGGTGTACAATAATTTTGACAATATACCACGTGGTTCGTGGTATGTTGTCATTTGACGGTTTAAAAAATAATGGAAAATTTTATTAGTACAAACAACGGATGTCAATGGAAGTTGACAACCTCTCACATTTATGCGAACTCAGCGTGATTAAAAAATTTCAAAATAAAAAGTTGGCCTCTTTATTGTGAGTATTGGTCATCCTCCATTGTCATCCACCATTGTACATGTAGCATGGTTGATAAATAATTTATCTTTTCAATCAACATTTTTTTTTCAGCTACAACATGTCAACAACGTTGTCAAAAAATATTGTAAAATATTTATTTATCGTTTTTATATATGCTCATTTTCAATCACACATTCACATAATAAAATATTTTACACGTAAATTAAAAAAAAATTCATACTTTTTAGAGCCCATTTGACAACCATTATCGTAGAAAAAAATGTTGAATGATGATTTTTAGGAGAATATGTGGTTAAAAAAGTAAAGAAAGCTTTTGATACACATGTATAATATTTTATTGTGTGAATTGGTGATTGAAAATGATCCCATAGCAAACTATAAATCAAGTTAATGGGTGTCAAACAGACACTTAAAACACACATTCTTCAACAAAAAATCACTATTTAAAACAATATTTAGCCCGTTTGATGCATATTTTTAGAGTAAGAATGCATTTTTACTATTGATGTGATGGAGAATACGTTGTTGAAAAAGAATGAAAAGTTATTGATATGATTGAAAATATTATTTTATTGAAAAATGTGTGATTGAAAATAAATAGAAGAATGAGAAAAATAATGTGACTAAAAAAAAAATGTTCGTCAATCATGAACTTAATTTCAAGAATGGAAGGACTTTGTGTGGACTCTTGGTCGTAGCTATATTTGACTTCTTTTATGTAATTTTTCAATCTTGTTAAACCCTTGATTCTCCTTATCTCAACTTAATTTATGTATATTAATTTTTAGCCAATGTTTGAGCCACATTATTTTTTTCATTCTCATTCTTCTACTCATTTTCAGTCACACATTTTTCAATAAAATAATATTTTCCATCGCATCAATAACTTTTCCTTCTTTTTCAACCACACATTCCCCGTCAATCTACTATTTCAAAATAATGTGACTCAAACACACCATTAATCATATATTCGCACAATAAAAAACCCTTTACTATTTCCTTATTTTATTAACTCACTTGCAAATTATTCACAAAGTACAAGATAAAACAAAACGGATAATGACTGTTTTCACTTGTATGAAGAACACCATTTGCTTATATAGTTCATGTTTGAGCCATATTAAAATTTTTATTATCATTCTTCTACTCCTTTTCAAACACACATTTTTCAATAAAATAATATTTTTCATCACATCAAACCACACATTTTCCATCAATCTACTATTTCAAAAATACATTTTTCCAAAATAATGTGTTTCAAACACACCAATAATCTAAAAAGAAGTAAAAGTTACTTTTAAGATTAATTTAGAAATTAATCTTTTTTTTAGATGGAACCTTTTTTGTTTGGCCAACCACGCTCCTGTAGCCTAAGGTTGTTGTATAATTACATAGTCCTTGTTTGATCCTCATTATTTTTAAAATAAATTTTTTTCTTATTTTCAACTACACATTTTTTAATAAAATAATATTACAAATAAATAAAAAAATTATTTTTTAACCTGACATTCTTCATCAAATCACTGTTTCAGAATGCATTTTTGGAAAAAAAAAAAAAGGAAAAAAAAATGGGTTCAAACAGGCTTTTAAACTCAAAAATCGTGTTTAACATTTCATGCGACTTCCCATTATCGCTCTCGACTCTTCCAGAATAAAACCCCAGTCCCGTTTCACTTTCTTCTCAATCTGGCTTCTACACACACTAAACAATAGCGGCGTGATAGGGACTTGTGAAATCTGCTGAAACTAATAGAAACCCAGGTAAAAAATTGGTTGAATCTGGCATTATTATGGGTGCCCTTTTTACCTTTATAATGTTATGTACTTGTTTACGATGTTCTTTTTATACCTGATCATATCTTGTTAAATCTCAAAATTTTGAAACTATGGTATGATATAGAGTGAATCTGTTGATTAAGAACACGTTTGGCTAAACTTAAAAAAGTTCGCTCATGAGTAAATTTACGACCTAAAAGTAAGAAGGAAAAAACAGAAATTATTCGAACATGTTTAAAAGCAATTTTACTTTTTAAGCTTAGCTAACAGGCTCGAGATTCCTTGAATACAATATCACGTAGGACTAATTGGCTACTGTTTACTATTGTTCTTGGCTGATAGAATATGTCTACCTCAGATGGCAAGAAGAATTAGTTCCGAGCTATTTATAAGCAGTATGCATCTCTTTTTGAGTTTTTTTTCTCCGACCTTCTGGACTGTGCTTTTGGTTAAAATTCTAATATCTTATAAGTCTTGATTCTTTGAGACTGGGATTGTCATTTTACACCACCACGGAAGAATTGAAAAGGTCATTCTAACCTTTTGGCGCAGTCACGGAAGGTATAATTTGCTAGTATTTAGAGCATGTCTGGCCAATGGTAAACAATAGGCCAGTAGTCACGACCGATAGTAAACAATAGCCAAGTAGTCCTACATGAGATTGTATTCAAGGAATTTTGAGCCTGTTTGCTAAGCTTAAAAAGTAAAGTTGCTTTTAAGTAACTTTTTTGCTGCAAATGTTCGAATAACTTCTGTTTTTACCTTCTTACTTTTAGGTCGTAAATTTACTCACAAGCGAACTTTTTTAAGCTTAAAAAGTTCGATTAGGTTTTTGATGTAGACTTTTTGAGAATAGATTTCTTGAAAATTTATTGTTTTGGAGAATGTGTGGTTAAAAATGTAGGAAAAGATTATGTGTCTAGGTACAAAATTATTTTACTCGTAGAATGTGTGATAGAAAATGAGTTTGGGGGAAAATGAATTTTAAATAATCTATGCCAAACAGGGGCTTATAAGTGAATGAGTAGGTTCTAAAATTAATGATTTTTATTTATCTATTAGAGTTGGAAATAAGTGAGTGGAGTTACTTGGAGAAGGTGTAAGTTTTACTTAAAAAGGTTTGGAAATAAAAAAGTTACTTAAAAATAACTTTTACTTAGATTTAAGCTTAGCCAAACATTCTCTTAATTGAAAGGTTTTAATTTGGGATGCTTTCTTCTTTCTCCTAGTGTTCAACGCACTGATCTTAACCTTCCACTTGTTCTCATGAATGATGACTGTTTTAATGCAGTGAGGCTTATCAAAGACCCAAGAACACAAAGCCCTAAAGGATTTGCTTTTGTGAAATTTGCATCAGAAGTCAATGCATTGAAGGCTATGAATGGCAGGGTAAGATACTTCTGCGATCCTATATATATTTCTAATGTGGTAATGTATGAGTGCATATGTATTCGCATGTCGACTATGGTGATGGTAGTTTATGCAAACTTTTATATAATGAACATCCGTTGAAATCGATTAAATGACGTGCTTTGATTGTCAACTATTACAGTATTTATCTATCTATTGCTACATTGTTATTTGTAAATCACCAAATTGGGTTTACATTCATGAATGTGATCCAGCATAGAATCTTCACCATTGAAATCCATATATTTGGAGTATATTTTTACCTCAATTTTTTTCTTAACAAGCATCATAGATTGAAATGCATTTTACAAAATGTTGTCCCAATTAAGTCATGTAATTACAGGTTCAGAAATTGGTCTTTTTAGTTTGAACCTTTTTAGAGTGCCGTGGAGGTCAAGTCAGTTTAAAAGCTACGCTTAGAGACACAAAGGACACTTTTTTTTCTTTTTTCAAATTAAGTTGTGAAAATTTCTTTGAAAAATGTGGAGTTAATGGTTAAGATTTCTTCCAGTGGCTTTTGACCTTTTGATATTTTTATATAAATTATTTTTTCTCGAAGATTCAAAAGAAAAAAAAAAGTAGCAGAGAATTTATCTTGCCAGTTTCCTCTTGTCCAGTGCAATAAGAAACTACTTGAGGCAATGAGAGTTGATAGCATCTCCTTCCATCATTTCAGGAGGTATTGCAGGTTCTAGGATTGTAATGTGTTATGCATTTCTCGGCAAGATGGGCAGGGGGGGATTGGAAATTGAACAGAGAAACTAATATTATGATTAAAGAGGGAAAAAATTTCTCATCCTAATTTTATTGTCAGCTAGACTTTAGACACTGTGAATCATTGTTTTGTTCAAGAAGTAACAGTAGCAAATATTGGAAAGCCACAACCTTGATGAGCCAGGAAGCATGCTGTACTCTTATCATCCTGTCATACTATTATTTTTAGTACCCATGACTATTCACATTGGAACTGAAATTACTTTTTGCATCTCAGAAACACAAGTTCAGTAGCTGTTTGGTACAGACTTTTATTTTTTATTTTTGTGACTTGTACTGACTAATTTAGTTGTATGGACCAATATAGCTATCGATACTGACAAGCGTTAATGGAGCATCTGACTTTTAAAAGTGAAATGAGTTTGACTGTGTTTGAGGCTTAAAGGTTTCCAGCTTCCTGTATTTTGTTTGGCCTCCTATCAATTTATTTTCTACAGGTTTTTTAGTGTTTTTTCATGCACTTTTGTCCCATGTTCAAATAAAAGAAGGCTATTTCTTAGAAGTCTTAATTATTGCAGACAAAGAAGAGGATGTTGCTGTTTGCATTACTGTGTTCTTTGTCTACTTCCCCCTTAGTGGATGTTTGGTTACATATTGTATGAACATTTGTTGACGTGCCACTTTGCGTCTTTGTCACGTTGATGTATTGTTCCTTTTGAGTGTGCTGCTATTTCATCTAATTTTTACATTTATTTGACACTGCAGATTGATTTTTGTGGAATTTGCTGCAGAGTACACTAGATCAGAAGACATAACATCCTGAAAGTCGGACAATTTTAATTACATAAAGATCTGAACCCAAATTCAGTTCACATGGGAGAACTTTTGGCAGTCTCACAGTCATCTTTACTGCTGTTGCCCCGGTTTCAGCTTGGAGTTCCAAATCGACGACTGGTTTCCATAGGTCGTATCGAGGCATCATTATCAGAGAACTCATGTATGCGATTCTGTTCAACAGGTTCGGATACAATTCCAACAATTTATGCACTGCCAAAGCAAGTTTCTGGGGGCATGAGAGTCCATGTTGTTTCAGACTCTAAGATGCCGACTACATTTACTGTTGATTCAGCTGGGGAAGGTATTGATGTCCTCCCAGATTCTGGTGGCTCTAATGATGATCTTGGTGGTCCAAAAGGCAATGGCGGCGGTGGAGGTGGCAACAATGGCGGTAATGATAACGGGGGAAGTGAGGGATCTGGCGAAAGTGATGACCATAACAAGGGCAGTGACAAGAAAGCGAAGGCACTTTCAATGTCCCAAAAATTGACACTCGGTTATGCTATCCTAGTCGGAGGTGGTGGAATTATGGGCTATTTGAAGAGTGGAAGCCAGAAATCCCTGATTGCAGGGGGAGGATCGGCCTTGCTATTGTATTTTGTTTACACAACGCTTCCTACTTATCCCGTTTTGGCATCTTGTCTTGGTTTTGGGATGTCGGCTTCCCTTCTAGGAGTGATGGGTTTGCGCTTTAAGAAGTCAGGGAAGATTTTTCCAGCTGGTATCGTCTCCTTTGCATCACTTGTCATGAGTGGGGGCTATTTGCATGGAATTTTGCGTAGTGTGCACTGATTATGTGCTTCATGTTTCACATAGGCACTCTCTTGGTTGCTTGATAATCTACGAACTCTATCTGAGGTGTAGAAGTCAAAATTCTGTACGCTTTGCATTTTATGTTTCCGAGCATGGAACTTTAATTTTCTCAGACAACTATCAATTTCCTATTTGTACTGATGACAGATGTTAAAGTCGCCCATTTTCTAAATGGGCGCAGTGTGTTGAGAAACTTTCATCCTTTTGTAGCTTAATCTCACAAATAGAATGAACCTAGTGCATGTTTGAGAGTGCTTATGAGGATGTCTTTTGGCAGCATCACCAAAAGAAGTATATGAAGCTGTTAAGCAATCCCAATCGTGATCGAAAAGTGAAAGGAAAGGAGATTCTACGATTTAGCTCTTGTTTGGTTGTTGTTTATAAATTGTTAAATCGATTTTTATACACTTGTTTGGCGAGACTCAAAAGTACTATTCACTTGTTCACAATTCATTTTTATCTATTATAATTTAAAGAGTTAAATAAAAAACCAACGTGCTTTTTTTTGACCCCAGGTTAAATGGTATCTTCAACGAAAAAGGGAGATATTTTATTTCCCTAATTCTCAAATCACTTATTTTGGTGATGGTTATTGTTTGCGAGCTTTGTTTTTGCTGAGGAGAGGCTTCAATGTGTTTTCTTTATTTTAACGGCAAATAATTAATTTGGAGTCCATCCTGTACATAATAGAGCAGATACTCTTTTAGAACCATGTTTTCTCAAAATCATTTCAATCAAATATTTTATGGAATTCATAACTTTTTATTTTTGTTGACCCCAAAAAATGTTGCCAACAGATGTCGGGCCCACTCGTGCACACGTAAGCTTAATCCAACATGCTAATGCCAATCGACGGTCATCAGGACTCCAGAAAATGAGCGTGGGAGTGGCTAAAAGGCACGAGACGTCTCCGTTCAGACCACCGGCATAAAAGAAATACGATTGTATAAGAAACCAATCGATAAATGACATGATTTGTTGTAGAAGAATGTTGTAAAAGAAGTGTTGAAATGAGACAAATAAAGCTCCAAAATATTCAGTTTGTTCTATGAATTTTGCATTAGTCCCTATTGTATTACATGGTTGGGGTATTTATAGTGTTACAACTCAAATTGTGGCCTTTGGATCAATTCACACGTGGCCTCATCTCCTCGACCAAGGCCTCAAATCCTAGCAATCAAGTTGACTCTCCTAGCTGTACTAACATTAAATGCTCTGACATTGACGAGACAAGACATAAGTAAGCTTTACACAAAAGTCACATCAATCATTTAGAAGAGATTTTCATCATGGCCGAATCCTCATAAGTGGATCTTTGATGGGCCTCGGACGTTAGAAGGAGGGGCCTCGGAGTAATAACGAGGGCCTCGGATTGGTAGCCAG